TCTGATTGGCAGCGTTCATTTGGGAAGACACCCGCTTATTTGGGTTAGATGTCTGGGTTGGGAAATAATGAAATTGTAGGCTAAGGTTATAGGCATTAATTTTAGGTTTAAAAGGGCTAATATTTAAATGGGCCTCCTTCTTTTCATTCTTCAATCATGCTTGGGGTACATTGTGGTATCCAACATGGTGTCCAAAATAGACACTCGACATCTCGACATTGGCCGAGGTGCCTGACACGCCAGGGCCCACCGGCACCTCGGCCAATACCGAGGTGTCGAATGTCCATTTTGGACACCATATTGGACACCACAATGTACCAAGAGCATTATCCTTCATTCTTGCCTACAACCCTTTAGACCAACTTCATATTTTGGCCGACACCTACAGGCAAACTCCTGACTTCAACTCCATCCCATGATTTCAGTCCAAAGACCAGATTATCGTCCAATTCTTCTTCTGGTAGCGTCGACGAAAGAGTGGTCTTGATTTCGTATGGCTTCCAGTCCTTCCTGCAATTTCAGCTGCCAGCAATAGCTCCAAACTCATCAGGTTCAGGTAGGATTTCAAAATTGAAGGTAGCTTTAGATTGGGTAGCTGTCGGTCTTTTCCCCAACCCTTCATGCTCTTGCCTATCTAATTTCTCCACTACATCCGAGATCGCCTGCAATGGAGCTGCAATTCCTTTCGAAACTAGCATTTTCAGCCTACAATTTCGTTCCTCTTCCTTACCTAGTCCTTTCGCGGTTTATGGCTATTAGTAATTGCTCCAATTTCACCCGATTCAATTAGTGTAGCTGCCTGACCTTTTTCGAGAATTGGCTCTCAATTGATAGAAACCCAAAGGTCCCAGTATCGAAACCTGGCTCTCAATTGATAGAAACCTGAAATGATCTCACTTCACCAGGCAAACTTAAAAATAAATGATGGTTGGAACATAATTTTTAATATACTATTACTAAACTTTGATTACAAATGAATGAATTCTGCTATAAAGGACAGATCTAAAATAGCAAATAAAATAGGAAATGACAAATGTATGAGGACGTTTGAGAGGTCCACAACTCTCCCAATTGACTACCAGAATTCTCCTCCATTCCTATAGCCCCATCTCTTTATTTATAAGTGATTTTTGCCTCTCAGTTACTCCTAACAGAATGATAACTGTACGCTTGCTGCATGTGCCTTCTTTTCCTTGGTTAATTCCTTTATTGCCCTTGTTAGTTTATCACGTAAGTTGGGATCTATCATTACTCGCCCCCGAAATTCACCTTGTCCTCAAGGTAAAAATTCGGACCAATTCCAAAAAATCTCGTACATCAAGTCTATACTCTTTACCCTACCAACCATAGTCAGTAACTTTAACCTAACTCCCAGTTTGAACACCATAAGTATAGCACTCATGCAGACCCTATAACCCGACGTCTCAATTCTCTGTAACTTCAACTTCAGGACCAATCTTGTGGTAATGAAATTAGGGCATGTTATCACAGGAACTACTGCATCGGTATCCCCACTAAATGCCCAAATCCTGACACCAACAACTATTAGTTCTTGGTAAATCGGAAGCATGGATAAATGAGAATCTGTCCAGTAGTTGCAAACCATATCGCTTTCAGTGCATTGGAAGTATGCTCGGGACATCCAAGGATAATGACCCCTTAATCTGCGCTTAAATGAAGATGTATCATTGAAAGGGAGGGTGTACATGCTATATGGTCAATGTTCCCCTGCTTCTTTCCTGCAAGGGCAAAAGCCTTCACACATTCACTTGTAGGGTGTGTAGCAGATCCAAAGTTACCAGTTACCCTTAAAACTTTATAAGTAGAATTTGAAATTAATCCAGGAGTCCACCAATACTGGAATGTGCCAATGTAATCATGGTAATCATTAATAACAGCATTCCAGACCATGGATTCCTTGAAACTACTTATTGGATGTTGAATTACCTTGTTTCTTTCTAATATGATTTGAGATAGCTGAGAAACATAATCTCCAGCATAACTTTCTCCTGCAATGTAAAATTCTCTATGTTTGTATTGATGAAACCTTTCAAATCAATTGAGAAGAGAGCTGTGTGCATCTTCAGTGTGATGTTCGATTGTATTCTTCTCCCTCCTTCGGTGGTATAGTCATTTCCTTAAGTGCAGTAGATCGAGGATTGAAACTTATGACAGATTTTAGGGCTGTATGCCATTGTTGGGCCATTTATCTTTATTTCATTTAAGCCCATTCCAACTTTAGCTGGCTTGATCAATATTATGGAGTCCTCTTGTCGGCCCACCTCCATATCATATCCCAATTCCTCTAGCTTCATCAATTGCTCGTGTAATCTCACCTGGAATCAACCCATTAACAAAAAGCCCTTCAGGCCACGCATTTGAGAGCTCCAACAACGATACGGCAAGCGCCTCGAACACTTGGTAATACTCTTCAAGTTGGACAGCAAGGAATATCTCTTCGTTGGTTCCCTCATGTGACGACCAGAAGTGGTTCGTCACAAAGTCCCT